AAAAAAAAAAAAAAAAAAAAAAAAAAAAAAAAAAAAAAAAAAAAAAAAAAAAAAAAAAGTGGGAATCAAGGCTGAATGAAGAGCGGGTATGTAAAGCATGGGTGGAGTAGACATGGAATTCATGAAATCAAATCATAACTAAAGAAACTGGGTGGTTATAGGCCTCAGTTTGATTTCAGAGGGCAAGCAGAAGTAAAAGTGATTACAATAATAGATTTCCCCTAAAATGGTGCAAATAGCTAGGCTGAGTCGTTTCCTGGCTCCTTTGTCTCCTTGTGGCTTTTTTTCTGATTGAATGGGTGGGAGAAGACCAGCCTGGGAAGCAAGGGCTAATCCACTTTTCCAAAACAATACTGCCATCAAGAGGAAGTAGTTTGACTAAACCCCAAGTCTTGAATGGGAATTCTGTGAGGGCTACTGGTTGAGAATGATTGAGCCTTTTGTGAAGTTGAGTGGACCTTGCTTCAACTTGAAGCAGATTTCCTCCACTTAAATCTGGAGGTCTGGACAAAGGCAGGATCCAAGAGAAGAAGCTGGTGGGAGGGTGGCGAGCTGGCAGGACCGAATGGACACCTACTAGGTAGGTCAGGTACTCAAAGTAGGGCGCAGATGAAGACAGGGGTAGAACAGGTCACTCAAATCCCGTTTGGGAATGATCTGGGCCTGTGACTCCTGGCTCTGCCTTTCGGTCAGTGAGGCTGTGGACTGGCACAAAGTGTCAGCAGTGTTAGAGGGCCAGGGTGGAGGAATGGAATCTCATTCCAAGTGGCATCTAACAGTAGCCAGTGTGCTTTATGGAGATGTCAGGTTCACCCAGAAGTCTAGTGCCTCGTTGCTGAGAGCAAGTAGGGCCTCATGAGAAGGAAGATGTGCCAGTGGGCCAAGCCAATAAATTCCAGAGTATCAGTAGGAGTAGCGAGAGAGATCCTCACAAAAAAGGGACCAAAGATGGAGAAAGCATAGAGATATTTTCTGAGCCCAGGAGGTAACAAGTACATCAGCTGGGCAGCGTGTTTTTAGGGCCCAGTGTGAAGACACATGCTCATTTAGAGGGACCTGCTCTTAGCTCAGCTTTCATAGGGGGACAGAAATTGGTTTTTTAATTGCTGCCTTTCTCCTAAGAAAGATGAGTCCTTCAGGCTTGGGACCTAACTGTTCTTTCATGCTAGGAAGTGTTCTCTCTCCCTGCTTCTTAGTAATCACACAGCCACACTCCACAGGAAAGGAGAGCACCATGGGGCCAAAGAGAATCATCGAGGCTTGTTTTGCAAAACTGGTGATGGGAAAGGGCAAAGGGGGCCCATCTTTCAGGATCAACTGTAGCAGGTAGTCTTCTTAATCCTTTGGGAAGATTGAAATCCATTTTCCAAGTCCTCATTGGGAGGAGAGGTCTACACTTTCACCTCAGGGATGAAAAAAAAAGTGTAAACACAAGAAAAGATTGAAAATAAGAAAAGGTTACTTTTGATTATTTTGTGTGTGATACTGGGGATCAAGTGAAATTTTTGCAAAATCATGAGAACACTATCATCCCAATATATAATTGAGAAAATACAAGATGCAGTTTTCTTTGAAAATTCGTATAATTCTCTATATGCAAATTTTAAAGGCTTTGCTTTTGATTTTTGTGCAAACAGTGCTATTTCCAAATTGTACTTAACAGAAAATTCATCTTTCTGAAACATATTTAGTGACATGTGATGAGGTTTGTGATATAAGACCTGAAAAAACAATAATAGAAGGGCCAGGGATTTAGTTCAGTGGTTCCGGCATCAGCCATGCAAGCGCAAGGACCCAAGTTTGATCCCCAGTACCAAAAAAACAAAAACAATAATAGAAGGGAACTACACAGTGAGAGTGCCTCAAAAAACAAACAAAAAAAACCCCAAAAAATAATAATAGAAGGAAACAACTCAAGCTGGAAAGATAGTCTACATATATCATATAAGTCAAAATTCATACCAGTAAGTCCTGAAAACCTATAACGTGTGCCGACGTGTGTAGAACTGTCTAATGCAATAGGTCAAACACAGAAGAAATATTTATTCTATTGAACCTCTTTTTGTATTTTATTTCATTCTATTTTATTATTTTATTTCATTGTATTCTATTATTTTTTAAATTTGAGCAGTGTTGGGGATGGAAATCAGGGTCTCACACACAAGGTA